CGTTACAAACGCAAAAGCGTTAAGAGAACCATACGTGCAAGTGTTAATAAATTTTTTTTTTAACCGGACCATGCTGCGACCACGGCACATTAAAACAAAAAATGAAATGGAGAAATGTATCTACGTTACAAACGCAAAAGCGTTAAGAGAACGAAACGAGATATTTTCCATCGCTGTCAATTTTTCTCTTGCATTTTCATGAGAGTCCGTGCCGCAACAAGTGAGGCTGCCAACTTCCACCAGATATGGATTATCATATATGAAGAACATGCATTGGGCGAGTTGGCAACGATTCAACTTCGTAATCGTAAGATGCCGAGTTCGCGTCTAAAGACGGGAACTTTTTTATCTTCATTTATTTTTGGTTTAATTCTTTTCAGCCCGGTGTTGCATGGCTCGCATGTGAGGGGGAAGTTCAAAAATAGTGCAGTCCTAACTAAACCACACGCGAAATAAAACAAGTGTAATTGTAGTAGTTTCCGTTTGCATATCCTTTGTACGCACAGAAATCATAATGCCTTTCCTTTTTCTTATATTCATTCACTCTATATTTGAAAACGCAGAGCGAACTGACACTCTCAAACTAGAAGAAAGAAATAAAAACGGCTAGCAGAAGCCGCGGGAATGTTTCAAGAGACTCGGTCGAGTCTCGCGCTAAGCACAGGCAACCCGCCGTACGGGGTACGGCCCGCCGAGACTCTTTACTCGAAGCATCTCTGGTACAAGAGAGACTGGTACGATGTAATATAATACAATATTTGTAGACTAATATAATCATATATTTAATGAATCTTAAGTTAACTAGGTTAACCAATAAGCAAAGTTAATCATTAAGAAAAAAAGAAAAAGGGATGAGAAGTGAGTTCCGAACTCGAGACTCTTGGACGTTAATCCAGCACCAAGCACGTGTGCTACCGAGCTATTGTGATATATAAATTGGAAACTTTATATTTCTGTAGTTACTCACGTTCGATTATTTGTTAAAAAAAACACATGAAACTCGGGGATGAACTATAGCACTCGTAGAAAAGTAATAGTGAACGGAACCTTTTCAATAATATGCCGCGAACCCATGAAGGCGTAGAATGTTGCAAGCAAACTGAATGCCCCAAAAAACACTTACGTGTAAAAAACTTCGTCAAGTACAGGAATGCTGTGTATTCCTCTAATAAAAAGTATTGATATCAGATTATTGAGGCCAAGTACATAAGTCACTACATGTTTGCCTATTATATGATTTGGCACTGGCCCATCATTTTAATTGTATTTTCAAAATTTCCTATAACGTTTTCACTACTCTTTTACATTACTACTGTTTCTCGTAGTTGGTTATGATTTAATAGTTATTTAATAATTAAATAAAACTTTAGGTGATTCCTTATCGAGTACTACTTGGCGGGTCCGTGCCAGGAATTCCAAA